TCACATTATAACAACCCCACGGCTGAAAGGGCGAGCATGTTTGGTGTGAAGGGGATTCGAACCCGCGACCCACAGATTGCGAATTGAGCGCCCTAACCACCTGGCCATGCCGGGCCAAATTGAGATTTGATTAATACCTACTAAAATTTTATAATCATGTTATCTATAAAGAAAGAAAAATTAAGTTTGTTATAAAAATCATTGATGGTGTTTTGTTAATTATGTTTCTCTGGAAATAAGTGAGTTTAAAATTACCGTTAATCACCAAGAAATAAAATTAAACTATTTTTATTTTGCTTTGTTATAAAATATTAGTAGAATTGTTTTAGCATCTTTAATGTAACCATTTAGACTAAAAGATGTAAAATACTCAGTTCTGCAGGGTGTAAGGTAAAGATACATTATGAACTACTGTATAAGAAAAGCAGCAGACACTTGTAACTATGTTATTTTCGTTAGGCACACAAGCACATTCTTCCAGATTTAAGCCTAAAACGAAAAATAATGTTAATGTCCCTTCTTTACTATAACCAGTTTTACTTCAAAAAGTTTTCAAAAATTGACTTAATCAGATCTGCAAATGAAAATATTTTCAAACTACATGTATCAGAACCACTAAATATTAGTATCACTGTAAAATATTATATTCCAAACTGTTTGAATAACACATAAACTGTTACTGTAGATTAGCACTGTGTCTGTAATGGTGCTGAGATTCAATGTGTTTTACGAACATTCATATAAAATTTAAGTTCCGCTTTATAATTTTTGCATGTTAACAATGTTTTTTTTTCTTCTAAGATGCAAGTTGATGTGTTAATTTCATTATTATTATAATTACTTGGCTTGGGTTCTAAACCGACACCTGTCACAGACAAGTGCTCAACTAACTCCGCTAAAAGGTTAGTGCTAACTAGTAAGGCTTTTTTTTTTAACAACTATAATTACCACACTGGTGAAAAATGCATTACTGGCATGAGGTAATTTTAGAGAGCTCTCATTCTCATCAAGCAGACAACCAAGAAAATGATCAGTATTGGAATATATTCCCAAGATAGATGTGCTTTTTTTTTTTCACATACCACCAGCTTTACAAATAAACATTCAGTAGTCATTTTAACTACTATATCATAACACCAGTCTTCAAGTTTCTAGGATGTGTCAGAACATATTCTGTTTAATTTGATGTGTACGTAAAACTAAAGACTTTAGAGTTTATTTAAATAATTAATAAATTAAAATTTCCTGCTCGGTTTTGCAATGAACGAAATAGTGATTACATTCAGTATACTTTCTGTGATATAAGTCGCATTCCCTAACCTTTTGCAGTTAGCTGAAGGTGTATAAAGCAAACTTTGTCAGAAATAGCCTATGTTTTTAGTTTAAATATAAGAATATCTCCTTTAAAAAACGCTACAAACAAATTAATTGAAATTTCACAATCATTTAATATGATTTAATCTTACTACTCAGATAGGCCTTATATATACATATACATGCACATAGCTTCAAACAAAAAAAATGTAATATCGTGTTTCAGACCTGAAGCCGTATTGTTAGGCTTATTATAATTGAACAAGAAGTTATACGTACTTGTTTTACGATTTAACTTTAGAGCAAATTCTAATGAACAAACATTTAAACACACCCATCACCTTAATAAAAATATACAAAAAAATTGAAATAAGCATCTTAATCCATTTCGGTTTCCAACCTTATATCTGATATTTTAAAATAAACTACCTTGTTTAGCGCGTAAGAGTTTGAACGAGTGCTTTATTTTCTTAGGCTTAATGGTTTTAAGAAGTGAAGTTGACAATAAATTTTATTCGTACATTACATCACATATTAAGTTGTTTTTTTAGCAAAAGTTGTAAGAGCCCAAATATTCCACATTTTAACATTTCCAAGCCAACTGAATATGACTTTTAAAACTAGTTCTAAACTTTATTTAATAAATTTCATAATGAATAGCATACCCTTGCTTTTCCATATACCTAGACTATATGACATCACAAAATGTCTTTTTATTATTATTAATCTTGTCTTTCTTGAAGTTGAAACCACTAGAGGTCACTACCATGTCACCTGTAGGAGTTATAAAACATGACACTTTCAGGGCCTGCCAGAATTAAAGTCGTGTAGCGTAAGAAACTGAAGAGCCATTTCCCAAACCGAATTTCCAGCACGTGCACTTCTGTCTATCACAATTTACAAGTGAAGATAATACAACATTTATACGGAATTCATCACCTAACTTGAGGAGATTTAATTTTGTTGGGGATCTGACACGTTAAAGCGAGTCAAACATGAGATCCACCTGGGGAACTACCATTGCCGTTACAATTTACAACCTCTTTGTCAGAACATGTACTGCCTTTCGTACTGTCGTTGCTGGCACTGCGCTGGTAAAGAGCGTTTCGGTTGAGTGTGGTGCTAGGAGTCCCCGGGGTGCCAGGGGCCATGCCTACGTAGCGACCTAGTGGACCATCACTTCTGACATTCATTTCACCCCTCATGAACCTCTCTAACTTGTCCACACAAGCGTCCTGATAGTCGTGGATCCACCTATAAAAAAGTTACCAAATATAACTCAGCTTTTCAACTCAGTAATATGAAGGTTCTCAACTTTCAAAAATTAATTCCAATTATTTAGTCGCTCAACAAAACAATTTTCTGTATGATCAAATGTAAACACATTAAAAAAAAACACCAAAAAACAAAAGTAAACCGAATAATTTTGTACTTCCATAAATTTTCACAGCAATTCAAAATTACTCTGTCTAGATGGCACTGCTTTAGATGCAAATTATAAACAACAATATTGTCTCTTTATCTATATATTTTACATAAATTAAATAGTCTGAAGTCATCAAGATTTTTTAAAGGATACTTAGTTTGTTTGTAATTAAGCACACAAAGTGCCCACCACAGGTATCGAAACCAGGATTCTAGCGTTGTAAGTCCGCATACGTACCGCTGTGCCACTGGGGGCGATACTTAGTTACTTCTTATATTTTGATTTTTAAGTTGTCGTTGAGTAAAATTATAATTAAAAAAATGCGAGTAATAACTTCCACTTATTACTTATTTTCTTGAGCAGTTCAATTGAATGATCAGTTGGTTAATAATATCTCAGTATTTCACAAAATGATTATTGCCAGTTTTTCAGTCGGGGTCAGTTATTTAAAAAAGATATCTACCGTCATTTAATCTTTTCTGATTTAAAATTAGTGTATGATTAAAACGCACTTAATTAATGTTCAATTCAATTTATTACTTCTTACAATTTAAGCCTGCAGATGGCGACACCTACCTAACTCCATTGAAGTAACATACTGCTCTCATGTCTTCTGGTAAGGTCTCTGGTTCAGGCCATTGAAAATTGTCTAATATAGGAATGATATTACACTGACTATGAAGCGCTTCGACGACTTCCTGTTACAGGAAAATGCAGGAAATCGGTCTTTAAAATACAGTAATTATATCTCAATAACATTACAAAGTATATTCTAGCTAGCAAGTCACATATAATCATATTACATATACAGAGATGTATTTTTTTTTTCTCTATCGTCTGCTTGTTACTTTGTATACGCTCGAAGATGACGGGGTGCCTTGAGTAAATTAATTGAAGTATGATATATTTGTACTGTAAGTAGGATGTTCATATGAGCTTTATCTGAGACACGAACTAGCTTATCACTCAAGGCTTTAATCGTAAAAAAAAGGACCCACAATTTATCATTGTCGTTGAACTAGATTGAAAAATTGAACCTCTGACCATATATTTGGTCTGTGAATATTTATTTAATGGTATTTCCTGATGTCCCTTTTAAAACGATACGTTTCTTGTTGCCATACGTAGTTTTAACACGTTTCCAAAACATCATTCTTTAAACGAGAAAATAAAGAACCTGGTACATATTAATTGAATAATACCAATTTTGTCAAGAGAAAAAGATAATACATACAAATATAAAAGAAGCATACAAAAAACAGTATAATATCATGATAAAAAGAACTTAGGAAGAAAACCGTGAAACGTAAACTTAGGGGGAAAAAAAACAGCACTCGGGCAACATCTCAAGTGTTTACTTACTTAAGTAAGATATGGGGTGGGTTTTAAGTTGTATATTTTCCCGTTATAGCCAAATTACTGCATTAACTCAAGTTTATTGACTCCAACGTATTTTAGCTGTTGTGTCAATTCTATGCTTACACTATTAACTATATTAGGTATAAAATAATTGTTAACAACATACTTTCAATACGAAATAAATACAGAATCGTTTAAAATCGCGGCTTCAAGATTTTTAATGACATAAAAAATTTACTATAAAGTAACAATTATACAAATTACTATACCATTATCAAGGTAACGATTATAGAAACTACTATACCCTTATCAAGGTAACAATTATAGGAAACTACTGTACCCTTATCAAGGTAACAATTATAGAAACTACTGTACCCTTATCAAGGTAACAATTATAGAAACTACTGTACCCTTATCAAGGTAACAATTATAGAAACTACTATACCATTATCAAGGTAACGATTATAGAAACTACTGTACCCTTATCAAGGTAACAATTATAGAAACTACTGTACCCTTATCAAGGTAACAATTATACAAACTAATATACCCTTATCAAGGTAACAATTATAGAAACTACTGTACCCTTATCAAGGTAACAATTATAGAAACTACTATACCCTATCAAGGTAACAATTATAGAAACTACTGTACCCTTATCAAGGTAACAATTATAGAAACTACTATACCCTTATCAAGGTAACAATTATAGAAACTACTGTACCCTTATCAAGGTAACAATTATACAAACTACTATCTTTACCCTGTGAACCCAATCTTTGCAATCGGTGTCTCCCATACAACGATCTAAAGCATTCGGGGTAAGAACTAGGAGGAAATGCTTGGCTTGTCTTATGCTGTTGAGAAGGTTGTTATCAAATTTTCCTGCTTCCAACCTCTCAACGTCGATAAAAACAGAAAAACTTCGGAGCTGCAAATGAACTTTCAACAAACTAGAAAAACAAAACAGTTATTGTAGAACGGAGTATCTTAAGAAACTACAAAAAACGTGTTACTCAAGAATGAACGTTATTTTTGGTGCAGTTATTGAAACAATGTAATAAACAGTCACTAAACAGGAAATACTTTATCAAACTTTTTTTTCGTTGTTAACTCAGCTATAATGTTACTTATTATAACAAACAATCAAGATTTAATTCCATTATGAGAGTAAAGAAGAAAAAAAGGTGATTTTAGCAAATATTTGGAATAGGTTTATATCTCAACACTAAAACATGAAACATTATTGACCAGAATTGTTAAGACTAAACACGGTGAAAGAACATATACAACTGAAGAACTAAAATGATAATGAGAGTGGTTAATATCCAATCATCCATAAAACTTGACGATCAAGGCATAACATTTCTTCAATAATGGACAAGACACAGAGCTTCCCATTACAGAGTGTAATCTCTCCTCCTCCTCTGCACAGGATTCTTCTGCACAGGCCACGCAGTATGGATTATCTGTTCTGTGCCTACCGTAGAGAACGAACACTGATTTTTTAATGTAATAAGCCGTCAAGCTTATCGCCGAGTCACACGGGTGCTAGAAGTGGCACATTTTTTAAAAATATAAATCTTCCAAAACATTTCCAGAGGATGTGTGGCCATGCATACAGTGCGACCTAGGTTCACTCGGGTTCAATTCAGGTTAGGTTACATCGAGGCCTAACCACGTGTGCAATACTCTGTTTCAAGGTTCTCTGATGCCATCTTTATATAACATCGCATTAATGTCCATCTGGATAAAAGATGATTAACTACATCCGTGAAAAGCGTTATAGCACCAACAGCCTCTAACCAGCCACTGTACACCTCATTGGATGTTAAAGAACTAAGCTAGATGATGCCAGCCCATAGCATGGTTGAAACATCCCAACCATTTGGACAATTCTGTTTCTAACTATCGTACGCCATCATTGTGTTATATATATAACTCTAGACTTGTCTATGTATGCCAAGAGTTCCAGTGGTCAATCGTCCACAAGGCATACTAAAATATCTAAGTCTGGATATTCGTTGCCTTAAGGTCAAAGGGTATACGACTGGTTTTCTAGCATTGACAAATCTCCGCCACCTAGTAGTAATTATTAAGTGTTATTCTTTGGGCTCTCCGTTTATCCATGTAGTGATCCATGATCCAGACTCCACCGATAACGTTTTGAGAAACATCAAAGGCAACCGTCGCTTACTTGGCGATGAAAGACTCCACCTTCAAATAAACCAATATCTATTTATAAGTCTGTTTTGCTTAAGGGCTTACGCTGAGATATATACTCGATAGATGGCGCTGCTTGCTTCAAAGTTTACCACTTGACCATAATTTTTGGACCTTTTAGAGTTTAGAGTGGTATGTCTTGTCCATTATTTCGGACTAAAGTTGTACACGGTGCAGTGTAAGAAACATAAATAACTCTAACGATAACTCTCTACATTTGTACATTTTTTTATCACTCGTTTTCCTAACACAATATTACGATTATCACGATAGCCGTTTAAGCAAAAAATACGTTTTCTCAATCGTCCAGTAATGACGTATGAAAGGCTTACCTGGCTAACTGAGAACCATTTGACCTTCTGTAGCTAATGAAGACGTCTAAACTTTTGTTGCTGGTGATGTCTTCTTCACTGCTGGTTCGAGACTGGACCAAACCTTCCAAAATACAGGTTATTTTTTTTTAAAGGAACTCCAGCAATAATCAAATTAAAAGAACTGTTAGGTACTACACATGATTAAAGTTTCAATATACGAAACTAAAGAAACGAATTAAGTTTCTTAGAGACTCAAACTGTGTTTATTGCATATTACGTATGACCAGTAGCCTAATCAAAAATCCAAAAGATCCATAGGCGAAACGTAATATTTATTTATAAAGAACAAAGTTTTAACGAATGATTTAAATATTGGTTGTGTCAACGTCTAAATTTCTGTTCATCACTGGTACTCAACTAATACGAACAGTTCTATCTTAAATTTATTGTACTACATCTATAATACTGTTTGTTTGTGATGGATTTCGCGCAAAGCTACACGAGAGCTATCTGCGCTAGCAGTCCCTAATTTAGCAGTGAATG